AAAAATAACCAAGATACATCATTTAAAGGTACAACTTCCCAATGATGAATGCCATTGTATTGTATATCTAAAATGTACCAATAAACTTAATTTAAAAAACTTACCAGGTTTTTGTTTGTTTGTTTTTGTGATTTTGGGATTAAATCCAGGGTATCAAACATGCCAGGCAAGTGCTCTACTACTGAGCTACACCTCCAGCCCAGAATTACTGCTTATGTCTTTTAAAGATGCTGGGAGAAGAAAGGCAAGCAAGTGTATATTGTAGAATTTTTATATTAACCTTATTTATTATCTTTAGTTCTCTGCACTTCTTCCTGTGGATTTGAGTATCATTTGGTGTCTTTTCTTTCAGTACAGCTTTGTTTCCACCTACTATCTCCTCTGTGCTGATACTGTCACATATATTTCTAGATGTCACAATTATATACATATTGGTTTTTTTTTTTTCTTTTTGGTTCTGGGCATCGAACTCGGGTCCCTCTGCTAGCAAGGCAGGCGGCGGAACCACTGAGCTAAATCCCCGGCTACATATTGTTTTATATAATTATTTTTTAAATATGTTACAGTCTTTTGATGAGATTCCATTTGTCTTTTAAAACTTCCTTGCTGACTTGAAGATAGCCTTGTCTGTATCCAGCCTGTCTTCTGTCTTTCTGTGGGTGGCTTGTGAGGGAAGAATGGTTGGGGTTTTTTAAGTTATTGAAGGAAAATGAATATTTTGTAGAACATAAAGATTGTATGCAATTTATATTTTTGTGTCCTTAATAGAGCTCTTTGGGAATCCAGTCCCATCCATTCCTGTACATATCCAGGGCTGCTCTCACCGCCGAAGTACAGTGGAGTGCCCGTGAGGGAAACGGTGTGGGCTAGTGACCTGAAACAGCGCCCTTACAGAAACAGTTTGCTAAGCCCTCGTCTGCGTCCTCCACTGGTGTCTAGAGGTGGCATTCATGTGTTCTTTCTCTCGTCAGGTGGAACACCCAGGCTGAGACCGAGCATTTCAGTAATTACTGACAGACAGACCCTGTGCCATGGTATCAGATGAGTGCCTGAGAGGAAGACCTGATTTTCAAGATGCCTGTGAGTCAGACAGGGCCTCTCTTAGGGGGTGAAATGCACAAAACAGGTTCTGAGAGATAGCCAGAGACTTCCTATAGAAAATGGAAGCCAGCCGCAAAAGAGATCAGAAAAAAAGGTCAGTGGTGGTTCTCAGCCTGAAATTCACTTGCCACTTTCAGTACACATTTCCCATGAATCTAATACCAGGGACAGACACTGCCTTCGCGATTTGGACTTCCTCAGCATGAGCTGGAGCAAATTCACATCAGTGCATGGAGTATGGCAGAGCCTCGAGCCTTAACGCCACCAAAGGATGCACAGTGACCAATGGCTCCGAGTGTGCAAAGCATGTGGGGCCACTGCCAGTGCACGTGTGGCACACGAGCAAGGCCACAAAGGAAGAAGCCCTGCATGTAGGGAGTATGGGGAGGATCTTAGCTTCAACTCCAGTTTTATCCCTCACCAGAGGATCCATGCTGGAGAGCTGCCTTTCGTGAGGTGAGGGGGGAGTTCGGTAAAGCTCTCAGGTGCGGCTCCCACTGCCCAGAGCACAGGTGGATCCACACTGGGGAGAGGTGGCCATGAGGTTAAGGGGTGTGACAGAGCCTATGCCTCTGAACGCACACTTTCCTCACTGGAGCATGCACACTGGAGAGAAGCCCCTCAACTGCAGGGACGGTGAGGCCTTCAGGGAGAGGTACTTGCATCCGGTGCTAGAGAGTTCACACTGGTGAGAAACCATGTGGCCTGAGGAGTGTGATGATGGTTCTCCTGGGAACTCAGCTCCAGCCTGGCCCAGCATCAGACAGTCCCCCTGGGAGAAGGCCGAGGGGTGTGTCGCGAGAGGAGGGCAGGACGGCCTTCAGCAGAACGTCAGTTTAATCGGCATCAGCAAACACACCCTTGCAAGACAGATGCAAAGAGGGCTCAGGATTGGCACAGCCCCAGAGACTCCGTGACACGGAGGTGTACTGTGAACATAAAGGTTGTGGGAAATCACGTTCAGAGTTCAGGCTTTGTTCACTGTCAGAGTATTCGCTCAGGAGAGGAACTTTTAAATGGAATAGTTGGCTCGGGTATCCCCACCTGCAGGCCAGTAGGCCTGCCTGTCCTTGGCCTGGTCCTACCTCCTGCCTTCGAGAGCTGTCCCCACTCTGGAAGCCACATGTCCTCTCATGGCCTCACCTACCTCAGGAACAATAATAGGAGTGCACTGGTGATCAGATGTGTCCTGGACTTGCAAGTCAGTAACATGGTCCTCAGGCATCACTAAGTACCACATCCTGCCCAGATGGCTGGAGGTTCTGGCTCTTTAGGTGCCCAGCAGCATGGTACGTCTGCTTCTACCACTGTCACCACACACACCGGCACAAAATGCCTTGTGCTACAGCATCCAGTAGCCACCACGCCACTGGGTGACAGAAGATTTTCATCTCCATCAAGGGGCCACCTTGCATGTAGGGCCTTCCATTGTTATGTAGGCTCTGACTGAGATGTGGGCTGGGTATTGATGCCCTGGAGCTTGGATCATTACAACTTATTTAGAGATCACTGTGTCCAAGGGCAGAAAGTGTGAACTTGGAACAAGCTCTTGTAGCTGGAAGCAGCTTCCTGTTTAAAGAAGTCACCAAGAGGAGATACTGAGGCCTTGTCTTAACAAGGGCCTGAGTAATTGGACCAAGTTGGCTTATTTAAATATCAAAGGAGTTTGGGAACAGAAGGGTGGCAGCATCAGTGCAGAGAGCAGGGAGACAGGAGACTGGAGGGTCCGGAGTGCGATGCGGATGGGCCAAGTGCATTATCTGGTGATTGATGGTTGGTAAATTGAATTCATGGGCTGTTTCTAGAAAAGCAGCAAAAGGGAAATTGTCTAGCCAGGTGTGATGGCACAGGACCATAATCCTAGCTACTCAGGAGGCTGAGGCAGGAGAATGGCACGTTCGAGGCCAACCTGGGCAACTTAGCAAGAACCTGTCTCAAAAAGGGCTGGGAATACAGCTCAGCAGTAGAGTGCTTGCTCAGCATGCATGAGGCCCTGGGTTCCATCTATAGCACTGGAAAAAAAGGAGAAAAAGCCTGGGAAGGAAGGAGGGAAGGAGGGGGAAAGAAAGGAAAAAGGAAAAAACAGAACTTGTCTGAGATCTATTGTTGAGATCAAGAGGGAATGAGGTCAAAGCAGAGACAAAGGAAGCGGAGATGTCACATCAGGCAGCTTGCATATTAAGCTGGCCCACCTCGATTCCGTTAAACTCTTGTATTTATAATCCCCAGCCTATGGAACGCCTTCCGCCTGGGGCACATTGGGCCACCTGAGCTGCCAGGGGACTAACTGTTTTAGCATGGTGCTGGCATTACCTGACTATGGGTTAACACTGGAGATGGAGCAGTCCCTAATCGGAAACTGGGGCCAGGTGAAGGTGAGTCATGTCACCTTGCTGGGGTCTAAAGTGGGGCTGTGTGTGCAACTGCTTTGCATCCTAGCAAGGTCATTTGGGGTGGGAAGACATAAGGGTGGATGAAATAAAAGCCAGGAAAACTGAATAGACCAGCAGAACTTAAATGAGGACTGGTGGAAGACTGCGACAGTACCACCAAGGTGAGGGGAGAAAACCAGGAGAAGGTGAACTTGGCATAGAGGCAGAGTGCTGTGTGTCTATTCAAGACTCATGGTTCGTGGGAACTTACATTTTCTCCTTTTGGCAATAAAACTTTCTTTTACCGAGTAACCATGAAGATTGCAGGCTTTACTGTGTCTTTAAAAATACTTTTTATTGAAAAATAAAGAGATGATCATGTTATATTTCTGTCCTTTCCCCTTGCTGTTCGTATTTTTTAAACCTTTTTTTTTAATGAAAAAGATCGCGAAGCACTGTGATAAGCTTTTCTGGATCCATTTTGGAAAATTTAGTCAAGAGCTTCAACTAGTGCTTTTCAGACCACCCCTGCTGGCGGATCAGTCCCTGCCCCTGCTGAGCCCTCTGCTGCCTGGGGCACCTGGCACACTACTGCAGCTCACCACGTGGCTGCAAACCTGTGTGAGATGCAGCCTCTGGGCACAGCCCTGGGTGTCTTGGTGATGGCACGTTGCTTTGTCCACTTTGAAACAGTGCAGCAAGGGTGGCTTCTCCAGAGTCCTCATCCCTGCCTGGCATAGAGTTACCGTCCTCTTCTGTCTGCATGTGGTTCTTCTGCGCCTCACCAGGTTGGCGAGGCCGATCTTACAGCATTCAAGGCTCTCTCCAGCTGTGCCTCTGCCATGGGTTAGTTCTGAATGGACCCCAGAGCCTCCCGTGTGTGCAAGGTGAGCAGATGTGGGCGCAGCAGCCACTTCCTGTTAGGAGGTGGGGCTGTGGCCTGGAAGGGTGCGGCTCCCTCCCCAGTTGCTCCCCACTCCTCCTGCTTCCTGAGTGCTGTGAGGTGGGCAGCTCTGCTCTGCCAGCCCCTTCCGCCATTCCGTCCTGCCTCGGAGCCAGCTGACTACAGTCTGAAAACGCGAGCCACGATAAACCTCCCCTCCTGTAAGCTGTGGGTGTTGGATGTTGTGTGGCAGTGATGAGAAGCTACGACACCTCCAGACTCTTTCAAACGCCTTCCATAAACCAGTTACAAAGTCTCCTCTGCACTACCGGGAATCAGGGGAATCCAGTAACAGCCACAAGCCCGACTCTTAGTACCATTTCCTGTTTTTCCAGCTTTCTACTGCTATAATGAAACACCTGAGATCTTTAACTCCAAGCAGAGGTTCCTTCTGGCTCACAGGTTTGGAAGTTTCTGTCCGTAATCACTCGACCCCGTTGTCTTGGGCCTGTGGAGAGGCAGCTCCCAGTGGTGACCTCCGCTAGGCTCCTCCTCTCCAAGGTCCTGCTGCCTCCTGCCAGTGCCACCCTGGTGCAGGCCTTTTAACACTCAGGCCTCTGGGGAAACTAACGTAGTCCCTTTCAGGTTGCTAGGCAGCCATGTCCAGAAAAAGGACAGAGTTTCCAGGATGCCAGGTTGGGAGGTCAGCTGGCCGCCAGTTGGAGCAGTATGACCTCCATGCGGGCTTTGTCTGCTGAGGGCCTCTGGGAGATGCTGTGGAATGAGAAGCTGGCTGTGGAGACAGCAGGCCCTGGACACACAGCACGAGGTCACTTCTTGGTGAGGGACAGGTGGGAACCAGCTGTATGCACTGTCCTGGATTTGTCTTAGCTTCTTCTCAACCCCATGAGGCCAGGATACGACGAGGCAGCTGGGGAAGACCTGAGTCAGGGCCAGAGCAGCATCCATGGGGAATGTCGGCCTCTCCACGTCCTCACTGTTGACAGTGCATCTCTGTGGTATTCTTGACCCTGGCATCAGCTTGGATGTGTCGAGCCTGCCCGCTGACAGGGAAGCTCAGTGTGCTTTTCCTCTGTCCCTTCCGAGGGGACCACTGTCCATGATGCGGAGAGAAAGTCAGGGTTCCTGTGACTGAGTGGCGTTTTTGGATCCTGGGTGGTGGTGTCCACCGCACCACAAGCTCCTGCCCTGCAGAAGTGGTTGGCACGGGGAAGAACGCTGGGCTGATGCTGCCCTTCCTTCACTGTCGAGCCTGCTGCTCAGGGCTGGGACAAGGTGAGAAAGTCACCACAGCTTCACTGAATGCTCTTGAGCCAGGCTTGGTGAAGTCGCCATTCAGGGAGCACCCACTAGGTGTCAAGCTCCTGACATTCATTGTCTACTAAGCCTCCCTAACAAACTTCCTGAGGTAGGCACCATTCCTCCAGCACAGATGGGGAAATCGAGGCAGGGGCGGGCATGTCGTTCGGCTAAGGGTACACAGCCCGGAGTGGCAGGATTCATCTCTCAGTCCAGGTCCATTTCTCTCTCCTCGTGGGATCTGTAAGTGCCCTGCACCTGTCACTCCCCCGGTCCTCTTGGGGCAGGCGACGACTGGGGGTTTCTGCCGCATAGGGCAGGTTCCTACTGGTCTCAGTCTCAGGGCACTTTTCAGCCCAGTCCAGCGGGATGCTCAGGGTACCCTCCTGAGGACACCGCCCCGCACCCACCCACTGCCTGCCAGCTCTTAAGAATCCGAAGTTCCAAATACGGGCCAGCTGAAAGCCTCAGGGACTGGTTGAATGCCAGCAGCTGTTAGCAGCAAGGCCACCAGGGCAGTTCTGGGCTGTCGATCTGAACCCAGAACTCTCCCCACTTGGGACAGGCACCCTGCAGCCCTCTCAGGCTGTACTGGGCAGCAAGTGATCCAAGGGACCAGCCTGAGAGTGAGCCTGGCCGGACTCCCAGCAGCTCCAGCAGTGAGCCCTTCTGCAGCAGAGAATCTGCTCCTTGTTAATGACCCTAAACGGTCAGCAGGTTTTTCCTTCCACACCGCCCTTGGGAGCTGAGCCCAAGCCGGGAAAGAGGTGCCAAGAGAGACTTGTCTTGCCCAGGCTGTGTGGCTGGCTGAGGTGTGAGTGTGGGGACCCTTGGCCTGGCCTGTGGCCCCCGCACACCCCACAGGGGACCTGGGTTCTGCTCCCGAGCTGGGCAGGGCTTTTATTGTGAAAGGAGCCCCCTTCCGCCTCGGGACGGAGGCTGGGCTGGGCTGGGCGAGACTGGGCCAGGCAGGGCGCTGCACTGCAGATCGGGGTCTGGCTGCACTGGAAGGGGGGACCCAGCTGGATCCCACGGAGCGTGGAGACATGGTAGGAGTGGGGGCCCCTGGACAAGTGGCCTTGGGCAGAGGGGACACACGATGGGAGGACACCTGGCCAGGTGGCTTTGGGAGGAGGGGACACCTGGCCAGGGTGGGGGACACCTGGACAGGCGGCTTCCAGGCACTGCCTCTGATGGCTGTCCCCAGATTTCATCCCTGCGCAGAGAGCCAGGGCTCAGCTCTGCAGGCACCGTGGGTGGGGTGACCAGGGGCTCATTCCTGACCAACCAGTGCCGCTGGGCTGAGCCAGAACCCAGGGCAGGGAGGGCGAGGGCCCCAGCACCGGCACTGGCACTGACACCGCGGCCTTGAAAAGCCTTTGAAGCCGCCTTTCCCCCGAGAGAGCCTGCCAGCTCTGTGCTGCTCTCCCCTTCGCGTTAAGGGAAGTGCAAGGCTGAAGTTAGACCGCACTAGTGAGGCTCCATCGCTGGCTTCCATGCCCACAGCCTCTGCCGCCTAGACAGGACCACAGAGCAAGGAAGGCGCGGGTCAGGCTGAGTGCAGGAGCAGACGGCAGCCCTCAGGACTGGTGCCTGTGGGCTGTGCTCCCCAGTGGAGCCCTGCAGCCCCGGCCAGGCCCCTTCCCTTCCCCTTCAAGCCCTCAGAGGGCTGACCGGAGCCCTGGGGCTGCTGGGAGGGCTTAGGTGTGGGCTGGAATTTGGGACACCTCTGCGTGTGGACGTGCAGGGCTGGCGGAGAGCGGCCGGGAAGGACTGTATACATCACCTTTCCCAGCGCCTCTTCTCCCCAGGGCTCTCGCTTCTTTCTTGAAGCTGCCGGAGAGAAAGGAGCAGGGGGCTTTAAACTTGAGAAGGCGCAACTGGAGGTACAGGATGTGAACCCCAGTGTGGGCGAGTGCTGGCCCCTTCAAAGGTGGCCGTAGGGAGGAGGGGACTGACCCGCGCCTCCTGCTCAGGTGGCCCAGGGAGCCCAGGGAGCGCGGCTGGGACTGGGGGGGCCTGGCGCCGAGCAGCCTCTGCCTGTGACACCGCATCTGGGCTGGGGCTGCTTTAGGAAGGGACGGGAGCCCTCAGTCCACGGTGCCGGGCTTAAGTGGCAGGCTGAGGAGCAGGGAAGCGGCCTTGCAGATGTGATGAGGTCTTCGCCTAGGTCCCATAGTCCAGAGGTCCAGAGGCCTTGGGGGAGCCTGGCTCACAGGAGGGGCTGGAAGTCCTCCAGGACCTCAGTCTCCTCCCTGCAAGATGCGAGGTTGACCAGATGTCGTTTGAGATGCTGGCCTCCCTCCTGGGTCCCTCAGCTGGTGGGGGGCTGGCCCTAGTGCCTCTCATCCTCTCCTGTGGGGGCTCAGGGCACGGTCACTGCGGCTCATCACGACTTGAGGGCTTTGATGTGGTTTGGGGTTACAGAGAAAAGGCCCAGGTTGGTGCCAGGCAGTCACAGCGTGGCCTGCTGGGCCAGCCCACATCTGTAAAGTGGGGGCCACGGGGAGCAACAGGATCAGAGAGGCATACTCCTAGTGCCCGCAGATGCTGTGAGAGGGGTTTTGCGGGACACCCAGGTTTGTTTTTTGCCAGCTCCTAAAAACACAACAGTGAGGAAGTCAGACAACTCTCACTGAGCGCCAGCCCCCTGGTGCTTCCAGAAGCTGCTTCAGTGGGAGCCAGCAGAGCCGATTTCACCTCCAGTAGCTTCAGCCTCAGCGGGAAGCAAACACCACCGCAGAGATGTTAGTCCAGCCTGTACCCCTGGCCCTCCCCACAGCCCCCACTGTGCTCAGCCCAATTACCGCCGCAGCGAGCGAGCAAGCAGCTCCACAAGTCCCCAGGCTTGGCTGGAGAACAGGATAAACCGGTTTTGGAATCGGAACCTAGCCTTGCAGTCACTGGGAAAAGGCCTCCCCCTCTCCTGTGGGCTCCCCTCACCTGCAGCTCCTGTCACCCTCAGCGAGCCGCACAGGACTGGACCGGGAGCCCAGGGCTGCCACCTGGGGTCCATCTTGATCGATCCGATCAGTCTCAGTCAGACCAAGAAGCCAGGAGCATTGGTCTGGAGAACAGTGGGTGGGTGAGTGTGGAAACGGCACACTGAGGAGTTAGCTCCTGATTGGCTCCCGAGAAACACAAGGCACTGGGCCCCCTGACCGACCCCACCGGGTCCCCACCCCACTCCCCACCCCACTCCCCACCCTGCTCCGAGTGGCACAGAGGGCGCCGGTTTCCCTGCAGCTGCGTGGGTGCTGGGAGCCCCAGGGCTGATTCTGTGGAGGCTGAAGAGTAGCCGTGGGAATCGGGGCTCAGTCCCAGCACTGTGTGTGTGTGTTGCACAAGCCCCGCATGAAGAGGCGCTGGCCCGAGTGAGAGGGTGGGCCTGGGTGCAGGGGGGGTTCTGCCCACCCACACCCTCTCCAGCCTGGCCTGGCCTGGCCCTGCTCCCCTGCTGCTCAGGGCCCAGCCTGCTGAGCAGGAGTGGACAGCGCTGGGTGTCCTGGGTAAGGGGAGGAAGGTGGAAGAGGACGCCCGAGGGTGGGGACCGGAGGGGCTCACTCTTACCCCAGCCGGCCCTGGGTTATCCCGGCACAGAGGGGAAGGGCCCCGCTCTCTGGAGGTGCGCAGGGGTCCCTGTGTGGGGGCAGGAGCGAGAGACCACCGCGGCCCTGTGACTGGCCCTCAGCGGGGACACGGGGAAGGGGAAGGCGGGGCCGGGAGACCTGGGAAAGGGGCAGTGTGAGGGCGACTTGGACTATGTTGAAGGAGGAAGGGAAACGCCGGTGTACGCCTATTATTATTGATCAAAAGCAAAACAAAAACACCCTGCTACTGCCAAGCTGGCCAGGCTGCAGCGTACCTGAAACTCTTTCCATTAAAGGGAACAATGAGCGGGTGTGGTGGTGCACACCCGCAATCCCAGCACTCAGAAAGCTGAGGCGGGGGTGGCCAACGTCAGCCTGAGCCACATGGCACGGCATTGTCTCAAAAAGCAAACGAACAAAGATTTAAAAACCAAAATAAAGGGGTAAATGCAGTGATAAAACCACAGCAGAAGACAGTTGATCAGTTTCTTATAAAGTTAATGGGTGCTTACCGTGTAGCCCGGCAATCCCATTCTTATGTATTTACGAAGAGGAACAAAGACATGTCTACACCACAGCCTGGGTGCACAGGTTTACAGTGGTCTTCCTCATAACTGCCCACACCGGAAGTAGCCTCGCTGACCTGCTAGTGCAGACTGGATGAACAAACCATGGTCCATCCGTATTGTGGACTGCAAAGGGATCCGTGTGCAAATGTCTGGCGCTGAATGGAAGAAATCAAACGTAAAAGGGTCGCTCTGGTGTGAGCTTCTGTGGCCCTCTGGAAAGAGGGCAGAGAGCCGATCAGCAGCTGCAGGGGTCGGGCAGGAGGCTGAGCAAGGGGGCAGCACAAAGACTTTAGGGATGACGGAAGTGTTGTGTCCCGATTGTGGGGGCTGCATGAATCGCATTAGTTAAGTCTCATAGAACTGCACACGAAAAATAGCTTTACCACATGTAGATAAAAAACCGATATAGCAAGAAGAGGGAAGAGCCTTCTAGCAGAGGGAACAGTGAGTGAAAAGCCTCTGGAGGCAAAGATGGCCATTAGAATGGCCTGGGAGGGCTCCAAGGAGACCGCAGGAGAAGGCCCGGGAAACAGAGCAGGGGCCAGAGGTGGTTCCTGGGTGTGGGCAGCTGCCCCACTCTGCTAGGGACTTGTGTTCCTGTCCAAAGGCAGAACAGCAGGATGGGAGGGCTTGGAGCCCAGAGGCGGGGCTCTTAGCACCTAGAGAGGGGTTTTGTGATGGGGAGGAGTGAGGCTGCAGGGGGTGAGGCGCCTAGGAATGGTCCGGATGGGGCTTTCCAGAGGGCTAGGAGGAAGGATACGGGGACAGGAAGACTGAGGAGGCTCGAGGGACTCTTGCTTCTTGTTCAGCCTCTGGGAGTCTGGGTCTCTGTCTCTGAGGTCCCGCCTTCTTTGTTTTTATTTATCTCTTAACTAGTCACACTCAGCAGTTAGTTAGCACACTTAGTTGGCAAACTTAGTTTATGATGTAGAAGTAAAGTGACCTCCCTACAACAACACTGATCGTTTTAATTCTGTGACCTGGATTACAATGCTATTTTAAGAGCAAGGGTAAAATGGTCTCCCTTCATCCTCTGGGTCTGTTTTGTGCATACTGCTTTGGTAGTTCCAGTAACAGATGAGTGCACTGTTACTCAGCCATCCTGGCTGCCCGGCCTGTGGTCCCAGACCTGCCCTCCTCCTGGTGCCTGCTGGGGCAGGGCAGTGGCTGTGGTTCAGCTTCTCTGCCTGCTGCGGGCTCCTGTCCCTAAGTGGCTGTGGGAAGGGGCTGCAGCAGCTGTTTACTTGTGGGCAGATTTGTTTGCCTTTGGAGGTTGCTTGGTTTCAGAAGGCAAACAGCCTCTTCCAGAGCCACCTGGACAGTACAGATGCTCTTGGCCAGGACAGCAGGTTTGTGGTTCTGTGTTTAGAAGCCAAGTCAGGTAGTGATTTTTTTCCGGAAATGCTATCTATCTGCCAAGAACTGGTCAAAGGCAGCAGAGAGGCAAGGACCAGAGGAGGAGGAGAGAAGAGAGATCCAAGCAGGAGATGTGGGCCCTGGTGGAGAGGGAGGCTGGCTTGCAGGGCCCTGTCCCTGAGCAGCCCCTATGGTGGGGCTCGGCTGTGCCAGGCTCACTGTCCTGGGCTGGCTCCCATCAGTGCTGATGGTGAGGGTGACTGCCGCTGCTGTCTGCTCTCCCTGTAGCCGGAGAAGCTGTGCACTGGGCAGTAGGAAATTCCTGAGATGTTCTGGCAAGGGTTTAAAGTTTCCCTCGTACATATGAATGCTCGGTGACACTGTTGGGTGCAAAGGGAAGGCCCACAGACCCTCAAGCCTGCAACAGCAGAGGGGCTGGAGGGGCATGGCCTGCTGTTTGCTGCCTCCTCCTCTGAGCCATCTCTGCCTCCTGGCCTCCAGTTCTGCCAGGACTTCCCTTTTTGGACTCGGAATGCTGTTGACTCATCTTTTTGGTGAACACAGAGTTGAGATGGAACTTTTACAAACTTTTAAAAAATATTGTTGCTGTTTCTCCTCTGAACCTAATTAGAGAGGAACATTTTCTTTTTGGGGGCCTGAGAGTGTTTTGAAAAGCTCTTGTTTTATCTCCCTTGCAGTTTTTAAAAAAAATTATAAGAGTGATACCTGCTGGCTGCAGGAAGTGCCGCCTGGTTTCCAGTCTCCTTGGAGGAGTCTGAGCAACGCATCCTGCATTTCGTGGACAGCTGCACCTGCTCTGGTTTGAGGGGCGGTGGCGGCAGCAGCCGTGTTCAGAGGGAGGGGGAAGAGCCAGTTGGGAGGAGGCCTGCGGACCCTGGAAGGACCCTCAGGCTCCCTCGGGCAAGTCTGTGGAAGCAGCAGGGCAGGTGGGACAGGCTGCGGTGGGCTGGGGACTCTCCTTCGGGTATCTTTGGTGGCCAGATGGCCTCCCTTCCCCCAGCCGCTTGGAGCGACAGTATCTCAGCTCTTCACCCCACTATGCAGTCACACTGACACACCTGCTCACATCCATCATTCCACACTCACGTGCAGCGCACACTAACGCCGACGCACTCCTCCCCCACTCCTGTGCACACTCACAGAGCAGCTGCAGAGGTGTGCTGGGCCCATGCCTGCCTGCTCTCGGGCAGTGACGCTCAACGGCTTGGGGCGGCTGGAGCCCAGCTGCCTGACCCGGATCGGCACAGAGGCTGCGGTGGTCACCGGCTGGCCCTGTAGGTGTCCATCCAGTGCTGCAGGAGGGATGCCAGGACACACGGCGGCTGTGTTGTCTCCACACAGAGGCCCCGTGTGCACCTGCTGGGACCGGGCCCTGGTCGGGGACTGGCCACCCCTTAGGGGATCCCCACACACAGCCAGCCTCTGTCTGCAGGCAGCTGTCTGAGTGGCCAGTCCATAAGGCCAGTCCCTGAAGCAGACCCCACCCCACGCCCCTGGTGCTGAGCCCCCACTGCAGCCACAAAGATGCCTTCAGAACGCCCCACCCTGAAACTGCACGCCCACACCTGTGTCAGCAGAGGCTCAGCTCCTCTTCTATGTGAACTTTTCTTCCTGGCAGTGGCCTGGGTGACTGGGTTTCGATCATGATTGTCACAGTCCCTTCCTTGGAACAATTTTTGTTGTTGTTTACCAGGGATTTAATGGAGGCCTTTGCACTGAGCTATGTGCCCAGCTGTTTTTCATTTTGACTTAGGGCCTCACTAAGTCATTAAGTTGCCCAGGCTGGGGTTGAACACATGATCCTCCTGCTTCAGCCTCCCAGAGTGCTGGGGTTACAGGAGTGTACCACCAGGCCTGGCTCCTTCATACAGCTTTAAAGCACAAGGGCTCAGAGGGTACTTTATGATCACAACTGAACTCAAACCCTGCTCGGCACCTTTAGCCTCCCAGACTCAGTTTCCCTCCAAGGTCACAGGGCACGAAGCACCTTGCACAGAGCGGGCACACAGTGGTAAGGGGAACACTGTGGTAAGTGGTAAGTGTGACACTGTCCTGAACTGGGCCCTCTGGGACTATCCCAGCAGGTCCTGTGCACCGGGGGGCAGCAGGGAGGCCTCACGGAGGGGCTGTGAGGGGCCGCTGGCTGTCAAGGGGCTGCCTTCAGTCAGCTCCCTGCCCCTTCCCTGTGATGTAACCTAAAGATGGGGAATGGGAGCCTGGCAGGGCTGCCTTGTGTGAGAGTCCCTGCCCAGAGTCCAGCAGAGCCCCGAACCTGCTGGAGAAAACCCTTCTCCATTCGCATCCGTCTCTAGCTGAAATTTGGCGTTTCTTTGGATGGGGGCACCTGTGGTTGTCACGGTGTCCCTGTGATGGTGTAACCTGGATCCGTGTCTAGGACAAGAGGTGGACAGCAGGAGTGCTTATAAAGAAGAGATAAATGGCTCCCAGTAGTCAGGAGGGGACCCGGGAGCGGGTTGTCACAGGGACACTATCTAGGAGTCTTTATACCAAAAAACCGCCCTGGCCCAGACCACAGCGAGTCAGACCAAGGCCCGCCTGTGGGACTAAACCCGCTCACCTAAACTAGAAAGGGGAGGAGTCGCAGCAAGGAGCCTGTGCTATGCAGGGCGCTCATTGAAAGGGCAAAGCGAAGGCAAAGCTGTTCCAGGTAGGCTGGAGCAGAGGGGTCTGTGTGTCTGCAGCTTGCTCGCGCCATCCCAGGCTGCACTGCCCGCCCGGCGCTTGCTGGCTCGTGGCTCTGCTCCTGCTTAGCCGACCAAGGCCTCCCTGGCTGCCTGCTGTTTCCTGCCCATTTATAATCTCATGACAGTGGCAACAGAGTCTCCATGCCTCACACCCTGGAAGCCGCCTGTTGCTGCTGTCCTGATTGATCTGTTAGTTACGTGTTCCAGGGAGGCACGTGTGAGGTCGCGCCACTCATTTACTGTTTTTATTTTAATTAGCACGTTTCAGTGTCACTGGTTTGTAACCTGTGTCTTCCTGCGGGAACTGGAGATGGAACCTCTCCAAGAGGGCAGGGCGAAGAGGTGCAGAAGGGGAGGGTGGGAAGGGACCAAGCCTCGTCATGTCTATGAAGGCAATCGTGTACTCCAAACATGTACTAATGAAAATAAAAATGTAACTGAAAGGAAAAGAACAATAAAAAGGACAAGGCATCCTGGGAAGAGCCCGTGGCTTCCCCAGGAAGGCCCGCCTCTGTGCAGTGCCCTCGGGACTGTCGGGAGGCCGAAGGCCACTGCCCAAAAGCTGCCTCAGAGCCTCGCCCGCAGCAGAGGAGTGTGTTTGAGGCATCGTGCTGGGTGGTACCAGAGTCCGTACCACTCACCGTGTTGTGGGATAAAAGCATCAGAACAAGGCCAAAGCGTGGAGCTCTCCTGCTTTCTTATTCATGAGCTCAGTGAATGTTCAGACGGTGAGCAGCCGACTCGTTTTAGAGATCAGTAAATAAGAGGCTCTGTGGCTTGGCTGGGAATGGCCCAGAGATGCAGACCCTGAGCATGCGGGACTTCACGGGAGCCCTGAGACCACAAATGAGATGCTTCCCACTCCATCCACCAGAAACGTCACACACCTGGGTGGAACCCCTTCATTCTGGAGTCTAGTCCTGGGAAACTTCCTGTTAAATGTAAATATCCTTGGAAATCAGTTGCTTGGAGCCAGCCCTGAGGGTCTGGGTCCCAGGAGCACCTTGTGCAGGTAGAGAAGGGAGGGCTGGGGGTGTGTGGGAGGCCTGGGGAGAGGAGCCCGGCCCGCCCCGTGAGGCAGGAGGCCCGAGGACACGGGCAGGCGGTGGGCCTGGGTGCAGGTTTGGGGAGCCAGAGCTGGGAGGAAGCAGTGAGAGGCAGGATGGGCTCTGAAGCCAGCCAGACTGCTTTTTGCTTGGGGGGCTCCAAAGCACACAGGGGCTGAGCCCCATCACCTAAGCAGCAGCTCCACAAGGGGCTGGGGCTCCTATTTCTGGAAGCATCTGCCGCCATTTTCTGTTGGGGACCGGGCTGAAGGGTGTGTGTGGACAGGCAGAGCACTTTCTTTGTGTGTTGACTTGGAGGCCATCTCTCTGCCCCTGAGAGGGTCCGGGTGGGTGGGGCACTCCCTGTGGTCTGTCTGGAGCTGTGGCTTCCCCCAGGTACACAGGCACCTGGCATGGCAGGGAACGTGCATAGCTGAGGGTCTCACCCTCAGCTCACTCCCCATCTCCCGGGCCCACTTCTCCAGAGTTGGCCTCAAACCTGCCGAGGCAGTGGGACTGTCCTGTGCTGTGCTGCCCCACACAGCGGCCACTCTGTACAGGCGGCCTTTGAGCTCTAGATGTATGGCCTCGACAACCAGGAACGGCAGTGTCGGGCTGGGGATTTGGCTCAGTGGTTTCACTGCTTGCTGCACAAGTGCAAGGACCTGAGTTCGATTCCCCAGTACCAAAGCAAACAAACAAAAAAGAATGGCAGTGTCAAACTTTAATGAATTCAAGCATAAATAGTAACTTGGGCCAGTGGCTGTCATACTGGACAGGCATCCCTGGACCAAGAGATGTGCCTGGAAATGCTGATGAGCCCAGGCTGCTGGCTCTAGTGAAAACAAATCCTCGCTTAACTAAACAGTGGTCAGAAAGAGTTCACCTTTGTTACCCACTTTCTCGTCACTGGGACACAATACCTGACACCCACAACTTAGACAGTTTCACTTTGGCTCACGTTTGAGTCCATGGTCCGCTGGCTCCAAGGCAGGATGGCATGGCAGAGGAGCCTGGTGGAAGAGAGCTGCTCAGGACACAGTGGACAGGAAGCAGAGTCAAGGGAGGAGCCCAGCCCATGCCCCCAGTGACCTCCTCCTCCTCCTACCAGGCCCCACCTCCTAACAGCGAGTCAGCCTGAAGCCCAGAGGCTTTGGGGAGTCTAGGTGTAACCCACAGCAACCTCTCCAAGGAGAACAGGAAAGCCCACAAGTGGCAAGGGCCTGGGGTGGGGAGGCAGGAGCGAGCAGTGGGGTCTCAGGTGACCCCAGGATCACATCAGCAAGAGAGGGAGCCGCGTTCTCCTCCAGCCATGCGGGGACATGGGCCGTAAACGTGGCTGCAACTTCCTCTTCTCAAGGGAAGCTGGAAGGCTGGATTTTCATGTGAAATGTGCTGGATTTTCAACATCGGCTCAAATTTATTTAAATCACTTCAAGCCAAACAAAACGTGTCTGCAGGCCAGATCTGCCCGCAGGGCTGGGTTTCGCTCTTCCAGGTCCTGTCCTGTTGACGTCTGTGCACACTTCCTGCAGGGGCCTGGGGGGATCTGAGGGAGAGAGGAAGCTGGCTCAGCCCCCAGGTGGGCTGGAGTTTGGCCAGCAGCCCAGAGCGGGCTGCCAGGAGGCGCAGGCCTGGCCCTCATCTGTGCCTGGGCAGCCCAGCCGGGAGCTGGAAAGGAAGCGCTCAGGAGCAGCTGGCTGTATCTAAGCAGAGTCCCAACCCCTCCCGCAAACCAGCCCCACTCCCAGGCCCAGAGCAAAATGTGTGGCTGATCCGGTGCCTGCAGCCAGAGAAAATCCCCAGCAAATGACAGGGTCTCCAGATTCCACGGCCCGTGGTGCCCCACACTGCTGCCCTTGGGAGCCGAACAAAATGCTCATTCAGCTGTGGGGCGCAGAGTGGGCTCGGGGCCCAACCTGTGGGCAGCCAGGGTGGGAGCAGAGCGGGCAGGGCGAGGGGGTGCGGGGCTCCCTTCAAGCCGGGCCCAGGCCGGCACAGGGTGAGCGCTCTGCTCTGTCTTGGGCGTTTGTTCCCAGGCAGTTCCCACGCTCCCCACTCCAAGATCAGCCTCCTGGTGGTGCTAAGGGCACCACAACCAACAATGACCGAATGTAACTGGCAGGCTCTGGGTTTGTTTCTGTGGGGTTTTTGCTTTTGTACTAGGGACTGAACCCAAGGCCTTTGCTCTGAGCTGTATCCCCAGCCCTTAAATATTTTTTTAGAAATGTTTATTGTTTAAATTTCAAGACAGGGTCTCACTAAGTTGCTAAGTTGCTCAGATGGGGCTCAGACCTATGATCCTCCTGCCTCAGCCTCTCAGAGTGCTGGGGTTTCAGGCCCGCACCACCAGGGCTAGCTCTCAAGCTTTGTCTTGAATGCTTTGTATCCAACAGCTCAGAAGACGAAACAGGGGGCCAGGGTGAGCGGCTGTGCCCGTGGGCCTCAGGCCATCCAGGCTGAGCCGGCCTCTGGAGAACGTACACAGCGCTCGGAGGTCGTTCATCTTTCTGACTACAAGCAACCAGGTCACGCTGTCCTGGAGCAGCGGCCGGCACAGGCTGCCCATTACACGCTCTGCACGGCAAGCTGGAGCTGAAGCCGGGACAGGCCAGGCTCCTGTGCCCCATGCAGGGCTGAGGACCGGGAAGGGCACCCCACAAGCCTGTCCACTGCAAGGCCCCCACAGACTGCCCGGGGATAAACTCGAGGAAGGAAAACAAAGGTGTAGTTTCTCCACCTCAGGCTTCGGGCACAGCTCTGCTTTCACCTCGCTGAGGGCTGGTCCTCGGGCCCTGTTAGTGGTGCCCACTGCTAGGGGGACCCCTGTGACCCTCTCCACTCTGCAGGCGCTCACAGAGCAGCCGCGCACGGGAGCCTGCCGCACTCCCCTGGTGCCCCGAGCAGGGAGTGGTGCTGAGAACACATTTGGGGCTGTCCCTGAGACCCGCTCTCTCATTGCTCGACTTTCTGTCCGCCAGTTCTTGGTGCTTTGACCCTGGCACCAGCCCATCCATAGATGGAAAGAGCCAGGCGCTGGGTAGCAACCCAGAAGAGATGCGGAGTTTCAAGGCACCGCAGGGATTTGTCCACCTGGGGGTTCGTGACTGCTAGGTGGTGACGACTGAGGCATATACCAGCACTTCACTCGATTAGCACGCGCACGTCTTAAAACCCATGGGCCCTGACCACTCTGTGAGGTAAGAACCACCATCAGGTCCATTTCCTGGATGGAGAAACTCCTGCGAAGTCACATTGGACAACAGGCCTGGGTCTGGGCGAGGTCATCCAGCTCCTGTGTCCTCCACCAAACCCTTCCAGGCCCATCCTTCTGGAGCAGGCTCCACAGCGAGGCCTCGACCAATGGTGATTCCACTAATCGTGGACTCAGAGTATCCAAAGAAAGCTGTCTGTGGGGAATTTTCACCTTGCTGTCACTCCCTAAACAATGCAGGATAACGGCTGTTTCCACGGAGGCATTGTGCCAGGGATTCTTTAAAGTTCACAGGGAGGTATGCACAGGTTATATGCTAAGGCCACACATTTTCTGGAAGGGACTGGAGCTCCACAGAGTTCGGTAGCCTGGGTGTCCTGGAACCGGACACCTGTAATCCTGAGTGATGGCTGTTTGTCCTGTGCCTCCAGTGCACGTAGTGAAGACACAGGTCTGGCATTCCGAGGTCCTCTAAAGTCCCACCAGGCTCCTTCCGGGTACCAGCTGGGAGCATCCTTCCCCACCCCTGCCAGGATGGCATGGTCTCTGGAGGCTGAAGACCCCAGGAATCCTGGGCCCTCTCCGCAGTCAGTGTGTCCCCTGAGCAGGTGATTGGGGGCCTCTGCGCACCGAGTTTCTCACCTGTGACATGCGTGTGACGAGAGCCCCCTCCTACCTGCCAGTCACCGTGGGAACCCTGGGGACATCGTCTTCCTGGTCGTGAGTGACACTGAAGAACCCTAGGCAAATGAGAGAGCTCACAAGGCATCCACGCAGTGCCCCCAGCTGGCTCTGGCTCTGCTGCAGGCTCTGCCAGCTCGACCTGGGCCGGGAAGAGAAGGGACCTGGGTGGAGGCCAGGCCAGTTTTGTGGGGTGGTCTGGGCTGCAGTGGGACATGATCCGATGGGTCACCTTTTCTCTGGGGGACAGTGAGTCGCTTGAGGGTGGGGCCGGCTGCTTCACTTTGGGTTCTCCGCTTCCTGGCCCAGGGCTCTGCATGGGACAAAACTGATGCTGAACTGTCCTTCGGAGGAAGTGATTTGAGTCCTGTCCCGGGGTGTCCTGAGGGTCTCACAATGCCTGGTGCCCCCTGCTCCATGGCACAACAATCATGGGTGGGGTTTGGGCGGGTGGCGACAGCCCGGCTCTGTGGAGCAGGGAGGCTAAGATGACCCCGTGCTCCAGTGCTCCCCAGCCGGAGCCTCTCCCTGCGGGCAAGGACCTGGGGTCCCCCAGCCCAGAACCCTGGGTCGCGGTCCCCGACGGAACCCTAACCCTTTGGGGCCATTTCTGGAGGCTTTCTCAAATCCCCACCATCCCTGTCCCTGTAGCGTCTACGTATAAACGTGTAATAAAGCGGGCTGAGAGTTAAATCCCAATTTCTCTTACTGGTCTTGAAATGTAGTTTTCATTTGTGGCTGAAGCTCTTTATGGAACAGTGTTTGAAGTGCTGCTCTCATTTCACAAGGGCGGGCTTTGTCTGGAGCAAGGCTTTCTGCCATCTCCAAATCTGACGCTTTCTCTCCTCTGCTCTTCCGTGAGGGTGCCTTGTCTGGGGTTTGGAGGGGACATCGCTTTGGGAGAGTTCCGCTGGTCTTTACCTCTCTCCTCTGCAGGACGCTGCCATCAGTGCACAAGAAAGTGCCAGTCCCATTCTGAGGTGGCTTGCGCCCGACCCTGCCTGGCAGCAGCTCAGAACCTGGCAGGCGCCAGGTGAGGCCGGCTCCTCCTACCCTATTTGCTTGGGAAAGTGAGATTTGGATCTGAGCCTGGAGAAACTTCAAATGCCCCCACCGTGGGCTCTCAGCCCCACTTGATCCTTGCAAGGCCCCGCGTGTAGATATCTGTGGTGCCGTTGCCTGCTCAGTGCTCTTCTTCCAATGTGGCAAGGAGAGCGCTGGCTTGGGCAGGTCGGGAGGGGAGCGGAGGTCAAGGTGATCGATTCTCCTGGTCAGGGACGCCGTCCTGTCCTTATGGACCTGCTGTGCTGGCTTCTGGGCTTTGTACCGCCAATTACTTCTAGGCAAGGCCAGCCGGAAGTCACGGGGGAAGCCTGCAAGGTCACAGAAAGTTGTGGAAGTAGCCGAAAAAGAGGCAGGAGAATGTACACGGCCCTGGGTTCAATCCCCAGCTCCACAAAGAATAAACACACAGATAAACAAAGGCAGGGGCTCCCGGCAGCGTCCTTTCCTGCACTCTGCTTCTGAGCCCCCCTAAACTCGCCCAGTCTCCTGACCGAGTTCGCCGTCGTCTCTCCCACTGGACTGAAAGAGCCTGAACACTGCAGTGGCCTGGCTGCCGCCCTGCGCTGCCCCACTGGCCGCGTGAGCCTTGCGCTCCGCCCTGGAGCTTGGGGGTGGGTACTCCAGTCCCTGCAGCCCACACAAGGAAGCCCCTCAGCAGTAGAGCACATGCTGAGCAAATGTCAATAATCATTCCTTAGTTTTCTTTCTTCTTCCTTTAAATTGGTCAGGTCAGAAATTATAGGGGCAAAAGTCCTTTCCAGTTCTGAAGTTGCTGATGTGGAAGGAAAATCACAACCCTCCAGGGGCCCAAGTGGGGGCCTGAGGTGGCTCTGGGCGGGCGGCCTGGGACTCCCCTCGGCAGGGTCCCCGTGGCCTGTGGCTCTAAGGCTGGGCTGTCCCCTTTGCTAGAGGCTTGTGCCACCAGCTGTCCTTGCCCGGGGGCTGGCTCTGGAAGCCATGCAGCGGAGCCCGGCCAGGTCTGGTGCAGTGACTCATGGGATGGGACATGTGGTTTTAATCCAGTGCTCTGAAGACCGCTCCCCGGGCCCCTCTGCCCAGCATAGTTTTGTTATGCCAGTTGCTTAGCTAAGCTTAAAGGAAAGGCACAGAAACACCAAAGCCCAGATCACTGCCAGTCAGCGGAGGATGGGTCCATGGGGTGAGGGCACAGAGGTCAAGGGGCAGAATCAACGGGTTGTGAGGACCTCAGTGATGGCTGGAATCAGAGCCAGACTCGACTTCACACACACGCACATGCACACACACACGCACACGACCATGCACGCACACACTGTCACATGGCCTCCCTCCTCAGAAGCAGCACTTTGCTCATGCTCTTTGGTGCTGTCTCTCCTGTTGGGGCAGGAGCATGTGGCCTCTGCCCGTCTGTCCTGTGAGCCTGGCCTCTGCCCGTCTGTCCTGTGAGCCTGGCCTCTGTGACAGTCTGGTCAAAGGCAAGGTCAGTTTGTTGGTTTTGTGTCTTCGATACATTTGTGGTAACCTGGCACCCGGTGTGTGAATCGAGTCAGGGCGCTGAGCCCTCCCTTCCCCGCACCGTCGATTGTTCTTCGGTCTGGGCAGTTTCAGTCTTGTGGCCGTGTTGAAAGATATCTCTGGCTGCTTCTTGCTTTCCCCAAGTGAGAAGGAACACGGAGGGTGCATCCTTCTGTGCCTAGCTTGGCCCCCTGCATAACGACCTCCAGTTCCACCCACATTGCTGCAGATGAGGGGATTTCTGTCTTCAAGGCAGGATTCTCTTGGTACATGAATGCACACCTCTCCTCTCACCGTGCAGCCCGGCAGGGCATCTGAGTCCCTGTTTTGATTACTGTGACTAGTGCTGTGGTAGACATGGGAGTTTGCGTATCTTTTCGGAATGATGATTTCATCTCCTTTGCTTACTGCTCACAAGTGGAATTGCTGGGTCCTGTGTATTTTTACTTCTATTTTTGAGGAATTTCGTGCTGTTTTCCATAGTGGCTGTACCAATTTACATTGCACCAGCGCCTCCCTGCTGTCTACATCCTTGTCGATTTGACTTCCTGTGCAAATTAAGCCTACACTTCAATTTGATGTAATTCCATTTGTCTATTTTTGCTTTTGTTTCCTCTGCTTTTAGAATCCTATCTAAAACAGCGTTGCCCACACCAGTGTCTTGAAGTGTTTTCCCTATGTTTTCTGGGAATCATTTCATAGCTTTGGGTTTAAGGATTAGGTCTTAGGGATCGAGTTTAATTCTTTCACACATGCATATTCAATTTTAACAGCATCATTTATTGAAGAGACTCACTGTTTTCCCTTGTATGTTCTTGGTGTCTTTGTAAAAAAAATGAGTTGGCTGCATGAGTGTGGATAATTTTTGAATTCTCTATCCTCTTCCATTGGTCCATCTGTCTCTGGGCTAGTGCCTTGCTGTTTTAGTTACTATAGTTTTGCAGTATGTTTTGAAGTCAGGTGTTGTGATATCTACAGTCTTGTTTTGTTTGTTTTTTGGTCAAGACAACTTTGGCTACTCTGAGTCTTTTGTGGCTCCATATCAGTTTTAGGATTTTTTTTCCTTAAATTCTTTTATTTTAGGTATACAATACATTTACATTTATCATGGGGAACTTGTACCTGTACATGATGTATCTTGGTTCTTATTTTTTCCCCATTCCCTTCCCTCCCTTCAACCCCTCTGTCCCTCCCTATTTACAAAGATTTTGTTTCCATTTTTCCATTTTCTCATATTAATTCCATTCCCTTCTTTCCTTTCCCCTACCCCTCCCACTTCCCCCTCCTCTTTGCCCCTTTTCTTCCTATTTCACATTATCTATTGTACCTTTTAGTCCTTATTTACACTTTCAGTTTCTCATACTAGGGAAACTATTTGCTATTTACACATATGGTTTTCTTTTTTCTATTTCTGTGAAGAAAGTTGTTGGTATGTGGATGGGAACTGGTTTGAGTCTATGGATCACTTTGGTTAGTATAGTCATTTTAGCAATTTGATTGTTTGGATCCATGAGCATGAGATTTCTTTCCATTTTTGTGTTTAGTATAGTCATTTTAGCAATTTGATTGTTTGGATCCATGAGCATGAGATTTCTTTCCATTTTTGTATCTTCTGTAATTTACTTTATCAACATTTTATAGTTTTTTATGTGCTTTATACTTTTTATGTTGGCTTTGTATCATGCAGCTTTACTGAATTTGTATATAAGTTCCCAAAATTTTTTGATGCAGTATTTTCTATGTGTGGAATCATGCCACCTGCAAGCATAGATAATTTAACTTCATCCTTTCTGAGTTGGATGCCTTTTCTTTCCCCTGGCTAATGGCTCTTGCTGAGGCTTCCAGTATTATATTAAGAGAGGTGAAAGTGGACATCCTTGTCATGGTCCCAGTCTTAGAGGAAAGCCTTAACTTTTCCCCATTTAGTCTAACACTAGTGTTGGAGTTTTCATATATAGCCTTTAGTGTTTTGAGGTGTGTTCCCTGTATATCTAATTTGTTGAGAGTTTTTATCATGAAGAGATGCTGAATCACCTTGGACGCTTTTTCTGCATTTGTCTTTCACTCTGTTGATGTATTTTATTGATTTGCATATGGTGAGCCATTCTTGAATCCCTAGGATTAACCTGATTATGGTGTATGATCTTTTTGGTGCACTGATGAATTCAGTTTGCTATAATTTTATTGAGAAATTTTGCATATATGTTCATCAGGGATATGAGTCTGTAATTTTCTATTTTTTTATCTTTGGTATTGGCATTGGAATTGGTATGGGTATGGGTATTGGTGGTATTTGGGTTTTGTATTTTTTTTTTTTGGTACAGGGGATAGAACTCAGGTCCTTGTGCTTGCACAGCAGGCAGCAAAAACCCTGAGCTAAATCCCCAGCCCCAGGTTTTGGTATTGTTAATGCTGGCCTCATAAAAAGTTTGCCAGAGTTCTTTCTATTTCCATTTTTTGGGGGGATAGTTTAAGAAGAACTGGAATTGACTATTTTTTAAATGTTTTGTAGAATTCAGCTGTAAAACCATCAGGCCCTGTTTTTTTGTTTGTTTTTGTTTTTAGATGAGAGAATTTTAACTACTGCTACAATCTCATTACTCAGTATCAGTCTGTGTAGATTTTCTATTTTTTAGGAAAAGGTGAAAGATTTATATGATCTGAAGAGAAACCAGAGTATGAGATTTTCTATTTTTTTATGGTTCAGGTTGGTAAATTGTATGTGTTTAGGAATTTTTCCATTTCTTCTAGGTTTCCAGATTTTTTTCATATATAACTTTTCATAGTAATTTCTTCTGAGTTTTGTATTTTTGTGGTATCGGTTGTAATGTGAATCATTTTTCATCTCTGATTTTTTTTGAGTCATTTCTGTCTCTCCTCTCTCTTCTTTCATCTTTTTTAGTCTAACTAAATGTTTGTCAGTTCCTTCAAAAAAACTCTTTGTTTCATCAATGTTTTGTATTCTTTTACTTTTAATTTTATTTATTTCTGCTATGATCTCTACCATATCCTTCCTTCCCCTAATTTTTGGTTTGTTTTGTTCTTGCTTTTCTGAGTCTTCAAGGTGCATTGTTAGGTTATTTGAGATCTTTCTAGTTTTTTGGTGTATGCCTTTATTGCTATAAACTTCTCTCTCAGTACTACTTTTGCTGTATCCCACAGATTTTAGTATGCTGTACTGTCAAGTTCATTAGTTTCTGGAAATGTTTTGATTTCTCTTTTAATTTCCTCCATTACTCACTGATCACTGAAGAGCGTGTTAGTCAATTTCCATGTGTGTGTGTACTTTCCATTCTTGTTGATTTGTAGTTTTCATCCATCGTGGTGTGAGAAGGTATATGGTATGGTTTCAATTTTTTGAAATTTCACTGAGACTGGATTTGTGGCTGAGCACATGGTCTATCCAGAAAGATACCCTGTGTGCTGACAAAGACAATGTGTAATTTGCTGATATTGATGAAAT